AGTTGCACCACAGGCTGAGGCTCTGCCAGCCCAGTCCTAAGTCCTTCCTTTTCTCTCTTTGCAGGTGTTAGAGCTGCAGCAGAGTCTGGGGCCTCTGCACCTATACCTTCTCTCTCTCTCTTTCTCCCTCTCTCCTTCTTTTATCTTTCATAAATTATCTTCTCCCCTCAAATAAATGAATTGAATATTTAAAACCATCATAAAAGCCATTTTCTGAAAGACTCAAACATATCACCAGGGCTTCCCTCACCTTGTGTTTATTTTCAGATATCCTAAATAGATATATCTTTTGGCAGGGTGTGCTAGTTCACACCTGTAATTCCAGCATTTTGGGAGGTCAAAGTGGGAGGATCTCTTGAAGCCAGCAGTTCAAGAACTGCCTGGGCAACAAAGCAAGAATCCATCTCTACAAAAAACTAAAAAATTCGCTGAGCATGGTGGCCTGTGGTTCCAATTACTCGGGAAGCAGAAGTGTGAGGATCGCCTGAGTCCAGCACTTGGAGGCTGCAGTGAGCCATGATCATGCCTCACTGCACTCCAGCCTGGGTGACAGAATGAGACTCCGCCTCTAAATATAAATATATATATATATAAAATAGATGCGTTTTCCAGCTGTAAACTACCTAGTATGAAAGAAGGCAACCTCAAAATACAGACAATTAGAATGCAATTTGGATGTGTCCAGAGAAAACATTCATTTAGGCCTTTGACAAAATTCAACAGCCTTTCAGGCTAAAAACTCTCAATAAACTCGGTATTGATGGAATGTATCTCAAAATAATAAGAGCTATTTATGACAAACCCACAGCCAATATCATACTGAATGGGCAAAAACTGGAAGCATTCCCTTTGAAAACTGGCACAAGACAGGGATGCCCTCTCTCACCACTCCTATTCAACAGAGTGTTGGAAGTTCTGGCTAGGGCAATCAGGCAAGAGAAAGAAATCAAGGGTATTCAGTTAGGAAAAGAAGAAGTCAAATTGTCCCTGTTTGCAGATGACATGATTGTATATTTAGAAAACCCCATTGTCTCAGCCCAAAATCTCCTTAAGCTGATAAGCAACTACAGCAAAGTCTCAGGATACAAAATCAATGTGCAAAAATCACAAGCATTCTTATACACCAGTACAAACAAACAGAGAGACAAATCATGAGTGAACTCCCATTCACAATTGCTTCAAAGAGAATCAAATACCTAGGAATCCAACTTACAAGGGATGTGAAGGACCTCTTCAAGGAGAACTACAAATCACTGCTCAGTGAAACAAAAGAGGACACAAACAAATGGAATAACATACCGCTCATAGATAGGAAGAATCAATATCGTGAAAATGGCCATACTGCCCAAGGTAATATATAGATTCAATGCCATCCCCATTAAGCTACCAGTGACTTTCTTCACAGAATTGGAAAATACTGCTTTAAAGTTCATGTGGAACCAAAAAAGAGCCTGCATTGCCAAGACAATACTAAGCCAAAAGAACAAAGCTGGAGGCATCATGCTACCTGACTTCAAACTATACTACAAGGCTACAGTAACCAAAACAGCATGGTACTGCTACCAAAACAGAAATATAGACCAATGGAACAGAACAGAGCCCTCAGAAATAATACCACACATCTACAGCCATCTGATCTTTGACAAACCTGAGAGAAACAATAAATGAGGAAAGAATTCCCTATTTAATAAATGGTGCTGGAAAAATTGGCTAGCCATAAGTAGAAAGCTGAAACTGGATCCTTTCCTTACTCCATATATGAAAATTAATTCAAGATGGATTAGAGACTTAGATGTTAGACCTAAAACCATAAAAAACCTAGAAGAAAACCTAGGTAATACCATTCAGGACATAGGCATGGGCAAGGACTTCATGTCTAAAACACCAAAAGCAACGGCAACAAAAGCAAAAATTGACAAATGGGATCTGATTAAACTGAAGAGCTTCTGCACAGCAAAAGAAACTACCATCAGAGTGAACAGGCAACCTACAGAATGAGAGAAAATTTTTGCAATCTACTCATCAAACAAAGGGCTAATATCCAGAACCTACAAAGAACTCAAACAAATTTACAAGAAAAAAGAAACAACCCCATCAAAAAGTGGGCAAAGGATATGAACAGATACTTCTCCAAAGAAGACATTTATACAGCCAACAGACACATGAAAAAATGCTCATCATCACTTTCCATCAGATAAATGCAAATCAAAACCACAGTGAGATACCATCTCACACCAGTTAGAATGGCAATCAACCAGTTAGAATGGCGTCAGTTAAAAAATCAGGAAACAACAGGTGCTGGAGAGGATGTGGAGAAACAGGAACACTTCTACACTGTTGGTGGGACTGTAAACTAGTTCAACCATTGTGGAAAACAGTGTGGCGATTCCTCAAGGATCTAGAACTAGAAATACCATTTGACCCAGCCATCCCATTACTGGGTATATACCCAAAGGATTATAAATCATGCTGCCATAAAGACACATGCACATGTATGTTTATTGCAGCACTATTTACAATAGCAAAGACTTGGAATCAATCCAAATGTCCATCAGTGACAGATTGGATTAAGAAAATGTGGCACATATACACCATGGAATACTGTGCAGCCATGAAAAAGGATGAGTTTGTGTCCTTTGTAGGGACATGGATGCAGCTCTAAACCATCATTCTCAACCAACTATCGCAAGAACAGAAAACCAAACACCGCATGTTCTCACTCATAGGTGGGAACTGAACAATGAGATCACTTAGACACAGGAAGGGGAACATCACTCATTGGGGCCTATTGTGGGGAGAGGGAGGCAGGGAGGGATAGCATTGGGAGATATACCTAATGTAAATGACGAGTTAATGGGTGCAGCACACCAGCATGGCACATGTATACATATGTAACAAACCTGCACATTGTGCACATATACCCTAGAACTTAAAGTATAATTAAAAATAAAAGAAAATAAATAAATTAAAATAAAATAAAAATAAAACATTCATTTAGTAGTCCCACAAGTCACTTTGATGCTATAAATTGTGGTTCTCATGTGGCTGTTCATTAGACATGTTTGAAACAAAGACTCACAGTACAACAGTGCGGCTAGCACCATCTCATCTTCCCCCTTACCAGCTCACACTTCTGTGTCTTCACAAATTTAATTCAAATAGGTACTTAGAATGTGTTTCCATTGACCCTACTTAAACTGCTGAGGCATCTCCTTTCCAATCAACACCAAAAAGAAATCAGATTCTATTGCCTTTTTTTAATTACCTGTTTTCCGTAACAATCTCCTGTAATGTGACTTTCTATTCTTGATTATTAAAACTCTCAAAGGTCCTTAATGACTCCTATATTTTTGTTTGACTTCCTTACTTTTCATGAAACAATATCTAATATTTTACATTGTTAACTGTTGACTTCCAATAAAAATAATAATACTAATAATTAGTTCATGCAATACATCCACATTCAGCCCTTTCTGTATTTCTCACAAGCAACACTGATTCCATCCTAATCTCCAAATAAAGGAATCTCCCATGGTGCGTACCTTCTGCCTTCTGTCCTTTTTGTACTTTAATTATTTAACCCATTACCAATACTGATTTTTGCATTCAGTTTTCCCTCATTTTTGCATGTTTTAATAATAGAATTGTAACTCTGTCCTGGCCATCACAGTAAGATAACCTGCCAATAAGTCAAATTCACAGTTTTTGTTTGTTTGTTTGTTTTTTTGAGACGGAGTCTCGCTGTGTTGCCCAGGCTGGAGTGCAGTGGCTCGGCTCACTGCAAGCTCCGCCTCCCGGGTTCGTGCCGTTCTCCTACCTCAGCCTTCTGAGTAGCTGGGACCACAGGCGCCTGCCACCATGCCTGGCTAATTTTTTTTTGTATTTTTTAGTAGAGACGAGGTTTCACCGTGTTAGCCAGGATGGTCTCGATGATCTGACCTCATGATCCGCCCGTCTCGGCCTCCCAAAGTGCTGGGATGACAGGCTTGATCCACTGCGCCCAGCCAAACTCACAGCTTTTAAAGGTAAGATGTTTGCACTGGTGTCATGGGGCCTATTTCCCGACATCTCTGGCTCTATTTATCATCTAATAATGGTAAACTACTTCTTGGAATTTTTCATAATCAAACAAAAGCAAATTTTACACATCTCACTTTTTTTCTACCGATGTCTTTTCCTTAATTAGCAGCATACAAAAATGTAGCCAGACTTTTTTTTGCATACAAAGCCTCTCCTCCGTCTAGTGTTTGCAGCCCATAATTCAAATGTTATTAGAATTCCATTTATTTTATGACACCGTCACTCATTTCTCCCCAGGAGTTTATTTGACTAATAGTTATTAATTTTATTTATTTATTCAATCAATGTTTATGGAGCTCCTACCGTGTGCTTTGAGCATACGGCAGATGGAGTTCTTGGCTTCATGAAGCTTGCAGTCAGTTGTGGGCAGGCAAGCACTAAACACATACTTAAAAATGATTTTGATAGATTCTTTGAAGATAAAGGGCAGAATTTAAATCAGGGAGCCATCATTAGAACAACTCTTCACAAAATTTCTAAGAAAATGTTTAATTTGAAACCTGAAGAATAAAGTTAAATAACATGCATACAACATAGGGACACACCAAACAATTGACACAGACTTACAGCTCCATCTAACTTCCTCTGCTTCAGAAACCAGGTTTCAACTGGTAACTCTCAACTGGAAAATGAAAACTATGACTGTAGATAAGAATATAGATACAAAGGACCCAGTGGCCTCTCCATCTGCTCACACATACCTCCTCCAATGCGACAGAAGGAGGGTTCTTGGTAATTAATTGGAGAGCAAGAAATGAAAAGACAGAAGGGTATTGTTCGGCAGCCATTTCCCTCTGTGGTCCTCTCACCTGATTCCTGATACCACCTCCTGCAGGAGTGGGAACTCTTCCAACTGCCCTCACAAGAGTGTCCTTCCTACCCGCTGTTCCAACAGCAGCTTGCTTACGGCTCCTTGCTCTCATTCTCATTCTCACCCGCAGCGCCATTCCTTTACTTTTCATTCAAATTTCTGTCTTGTTTCTTATTTATGCTTTTAGGAAGTTAAGAAGGATGAATCTTCTGTGTGGCACCTATTACCAGCAATCTAGGGTTGCGAGTCTTCTTCAGTCAACAGGCACATACATTTTTCTATTTCAGAAGCACAGCTAGAAAGATTCTTATGCATCAGCAAGTGTGATGGTTAATACTGAGTGTCAACTTGATTGGATTGAAGGATGCAAAGCATTGTTTCTGGGTGTGTTTGTGAGGGTGTTGCCAAAGGAGATTAACATTTGAGTCAGTGGATTTGGAGAGACAGACCCACCCTCAGTCTGGGTTGGCATAATCTAATCAGCTGCCAGCATGGCTAGAAAAAATTGCAGGAAGACGAAGGTGGAATGAGCAGACTCGCTGAATTTTCTGGTCTTCATCTGTCTTCTATACTGGATGCCTCCTGTGCTCGAACGCTGGACTCCAAGTTCTTCAGATTTTGGACTTTTGGACTTACACCAGTGGTTTGTCTTGGGTCTTTGGCCACAGACAGAAAGCGGCACTGCCTGTTTCCCTACATTTGAGGTTTTGGGACTCAGACTGGCTTACTTGCTCCTCAGCTCACAGACAACCTATTGTGGGACTTCACCTTATGATCATGTGAGTCAATACTCCTTAATAAACCCCCCTTCATATATACATCTATTCTATTAGCTCTGTCCCTTTGGAGAAGCCTGATTAATACAAGTCATTTCTTCTTTCTGTTATTGATGAGGCAAGAGTCCTAGAAATCTGTCATGACTCAATCAAGTTATGCAGCCAGGAAATGCAAACCTGGCCTAAAACCCATGTCTCTTTATTTTATATGCAGGATGATCACGTATTCTGGATGTTTGGGAGAGTCCTGGTTTATTAATAAACCTGTTTAAGAAAAACGGGTTTCTGCCTATTGTCTCATTGAAGCCACGACTGGCAACACTTTCATTCTCCTGAACCTCCCAGTTTGGAGCGGCTAGCCTCCTTTCCTCCTACATACAGCCCATTAATCTTTCCCCTCTGTCACACATATCATATTTTTTGATTTTCAGTGAAGTCTGCATTTATGTACATGTGGTGTTTCCAAGTCTAGCATGTTGATACATAGAGAAATGTGATTTTTTAAAAATGTGATTTTTTAAAATTCCAAACTGTGTGACTTTTCTTATGGGAAGACAAATCTCTCTGACTAAACATATAGAAAGATGTAAGTTTCTTACTTAAGAATTTTATGGGTGGTGCGGAGCAAGATGGCCGAATAGGAGCAGCTCCAGTCTCCAACTCCCAGCGCGAGCGACACAGAACACCGGTGATTTCTGCATTTTCAACTGAGGTACTGGGTTCATCTCACTGGGGAGTGCCGGACGATCAGAGCTGGTCAGCTGCTGCAGCCCGACCAGCGAGAGCTGAAGCAAGGCGAGGCATTGCCTCACCTGGGAAGCGCAAGGGGGAAGGGAGTCCCTTTTCCTAGCCAGGGGAACTGAGACACACAACACCTGGAAAATCGGGTAACTCCCACCCCAATACTGCGCTTTAGGAAACAGGCACACCAGGAGATCATATCCCACACCTGGCCGGGAGGGTCCCACACCCACGGAGCCTCCCTGGTTGCTAGCGCAGCAGTCTGTGATCTACCGGCAAGGCAGCAGCGAGGCTGGGGGAGGGGCGCCCGCCATTGCTGAGGCTTAAGTAGGTAAACAAAGCTGCTGGGAAGCTCGAACTGGGTGGAGCTCACAGCAGCTCAAGGAAACCTGCCTGTCTCTGTAGACTCCACCTCTGGGGACAGGGCACAGTAAACTAAGACACACAGACACCTCTGCACAGACGCAAACGACTCTGTCTGACAGGCTTTGAAGAGAGCAGTGGATCTCCCAACACGGAGGTTGAGATCTGAGAAGGGACAGACTCCCTGCTCAAGCGGGTCCCTGACCCCTGAGTAGCCTAACTGGGAGACATCCCCCACTAGGGCAGTCTGACACCCACACCTCACAGGGAGGAGTACAACCCCTGAGAGGAAGCTTCCAAAGCAAGAATCAGACAGGTACACTCGCTGTTCAGAAATATTCTATCTTCTGCAGCCTCTGCTGCTGATACCAGGCAAACAGGGTCTGGAGTGGACCTCAAGCAATCTCCAACAGACCTACAGCTGAGGGTCCTGACTGTTAGAAGGAAAACTATCAAACAGGAAGGGACACCACCCAAAACCCCATCAGTACATCACCATCATCAAAGACCAGAGGCAGATAAAACCACAAAGATGGGGGAAAAGCAGGGCAGAAAAGCTGGAAATTCAAAAAATAAGAGCGCATCTCCCCCGGCAAAGGAGCGCAGCTCATCGCCAGCAACGGATCAAAGCTGGACGGAGAATGACTTTGACGAGATGAGAGAAGAAGGCTTCAGTCCATCAAATTTCTCAGAGCTAAAGGAGGAATTACGTACCCAGCGCAAAGAAACTAAAATCTTGAAAAAAAAGTGGAAGAATTGATGGCTAGAGTAATTAATGCAGAGAAGGTCCTAAACGAAATGAAAGAGATGAAAACCATGACACGAGAAATACGTGACAATGCACAAGCTTCAGTAACCGACTCGATCAACTGGAAGAAAGAGTATCAGCGATTGAGGATCAAATGAATGAAATGAAGCGAGAAGAGAAACCAAAAGAAAAAAGAAGAAAAAGAACGAACAAAGCCTGCAAGAAGTATGGGATTATGTAAAAAGACCAAATCTACGTCTGATTGGGGTGCCTGAAAGTGAGGGGGAAATGGAACCAAGTTGGAAAACACTCTTCAGGATATCATCCCAGGAGAACTTCCCCAACCTAGTAGGGCAGGCCAACATTCAAATCCAGGAAATACAGAGAACGCCACAAAGATACTCCTCGAGAAGAGCAACTCCAAGACACATAATTGCCAGATTCACCAAAGTTGAAATGAAGGAAAAAATCTTAAGGGCAGCCAGAGAGAAAGGTCGGGTTACCCACAAAGGGAAGCCCATCAGACTAACAGCAGATCTCTCGGCAGAAACTCTCCAAGCCAGAAGAGAGTGGGGGCCAATATTCACCATTCTTAAAGAAAAGAATTTTAAACCCAGAATTTCATATCCAGCCAAACTAAGTTTCATAAGTGAAGGAGAAATAAAATCCTTTACAGATAAGCAAATGCTTAGAGATTTTGTCACCACTAGGCCTGCCTTACAAGAGACCCTGAAGGAAGCACTAAACATGGAAAGGAACACCCGGTACCAGCCATTGCAAAAACATGCCAAAATGTAAAGACCATTGAGGCTAGGAAGAAGCTGCATCAACTAATGAGCAAAATAACCAGTTAATATCATAATGGGCAGGATCAGTTCACACATAACAATATTAACCTTAAATGTAAATGGACTAAATGCTCCAATTAAAAGACACAGACTGGCAACTGGATAAAGAGTCAAAGACCCATCAGTCTGCTGTATTCAGGAGACCCATCTCACACCCGCAGAGACCATACATAGGCTCAAAATAAAGGGATGGAGGAAGATTTACCAAGCAATGGAGAACAAAAAAAGCAGGGGTTGCAATACTAGTCTCTGATAAAACAGACTTTAAACCATCACAAGATCAAAAGAGACAAAGAAGGCCATTACATAATCGTAAAGGGATCAATTAAACAGGAAGAGCAACTATCCTAAATATATATGCACCCATACAGGACACCCAGATTCATAAGCAAGTCCTTAGGACTTACAAAGAGACTTAGACTTCCCATACATAATAATGGGAGACTTCAACACTTCCACTGTCAACATTAGACAGCACGAACGAGACAGAAAGTTAACAAGGATATCCCAGGAATTGAACTCATCTCTGCAGCAAGCAGACCTAATAGGACATGCTATAGAACTCTCCACCCCAAATCAACAGAATATACATTCTTCTCAGCACCACATCATACTTACTCCAAAATTGACCACCGTAATTGGAAGTAAAGCACTCCTCAGCAAATGTACAAGAACAGAAATTATAACAAACTGTCTCTCAGGACCACAGTGCCAATCAAACTAGAAACTTCAGGACTAGAAAACTCACTCAAAACCGCTCAACTACATGGAAACTGAACAACCTGCTCTGAATGACTACTGGGTTACATAACGAAATGAAGCAGAAATAAAGATGTTCTTTGAACCAATGAGAACAAAGATAAACCATTACCAGAATCTCTGGGACACATTTAAAGCAGTGTGTAGAGGGAAATTTATGCACTAAATGCCCACAAGGAAAGCAGGAAAGATCTAAAAATTGCACACTCTAACATCGCAATTAAAAGAACTAGAGAAGCAAGAGCAAAACACATTCGAAAGCTAGCAGAAGGCAAGAAATAACTAAGATCAGAGCAGAACTGAAGGAGATAGAACACAAAAAACCCTCCAAAAAATCAATGAATCCAGGAGTTGGTTTTTTGAAAAGATCAACAAAATTGACAGACCACTAGCCAGACTAATAAAGAAGAAAAGAGAGAAGAATCAAATCGACGCAATTAAAAATGATCAAGGGGATATCACCACCGACCCCACAGAAATACAAACTACCATCAGAGAATACTATAAACACCTCTACGCAAATAAACTGGAAAATCTAGAAGAAATGGATAATTTCCTGGACACTTACACTCTTCCAAGACTAAACCAGGAAGAAGTTGAATCCCTGAATAGACCAATAGCAGGCTCTGAAATTGAGGCAACAATTAATAGCCTACCAACCAAAAAAAGTCCAGGACCAGATGGATTCACAGCTGAATTCTACCAGAGGTACAAAGAGGAGTTGGTACCATTCCTTCTGAAACTATTCCAATCAATAGAAAAAGAGGGAATCCTCCCTAACTCATTTTATGAGGCCAACATCATCCTGATACCAAAGCCTGGCAGAGACACAACAAAAAAAGAGAATTTTAGACCAATATCCCTGATGAACATCGATGCAAAAATCCTCAATAAAATACTGGCAAACCGGATTCAGCAACACATCAAAAAGCTTATCCACCATGATCAAGTGGGCTTCATCCCTGGGATGCAAGGCTGGTTCAACATTCGCAAATCAATAAACATAATCCAGCATATAAACAGAACCAAAGACAAGAACCACATGATTATCTCAATTGATGCAGAAAAGGCTTTTGACAAAATTCAACAGCCCTTCATGCTAAAAACGCTCAATAAATTCGGTATTGATGGAACGTACCTCAAAATAATAAGAGCTATTTATGACAAACCCACAGCCAATATCATACTGAATGGGCAAAAACTGGAAAAATTCCCTTTGAAAACTGGCACAAGACAGGGATGCCCTCTCTCACCACTCCTATTCAACATAGTGTTGGAAGTTCTGGCTAGGGCAATCAGGCAAGAGAAAGAAATCAAGGGTATTCAGTTAGGAAAAGAAGAAGTCAAATTGTCCCTGTTTGCAGATGACATGATTGTATATTTAGAAAACCCCATTGTCTCAGCCCAAAATCTCCTTAAGCTGATAAGCAACTTCAGCAAAGTCTCAGGATACAAAATTAATGTGCAAAAATCACAAGCATTCTTATACACCAGTAACAGACAAACAGAGAGCCAAATCAGGAATGAACTTCCATTCACAATTGCTTCAAAGAGAATCAAATACCTAGGAATCCAACTTACAAGGGATGTAAAGGACCTCTTCAAGGAGAACTACAAACCACTGCTCAGTGAAATCAAAGAGGACACAAACAAATGGAAGAACATACCATGCTCATGGATAGGAAGAATCAATATTGTGAAAATGGCCATACTGCCCAAGGTAATTTATAGATTCAATGCCATCCCCATCAAGCTACCAATGAGTTTCTTCACAGAATTGGAAAAAACTGCTTTAAAGTTCATATGGAACCAAAAAAGAGCCCGCATCTCCAAGACAATCCTAAGTCAAAAGAACAAAGCTGGAGGCATCACGCTACCTGACTTCAAACTATACTACAAGGCTACAGTAACCAAAACAGCATGGTACTGGTACCAAAACAGAGATATAGACCAATGGAACAGAACAGAGTCCTCAGAAATAATACCACACATCTACAGCCATTTGATCTTTGACAAACCTGAGAGAAACAAGAAATGGGGAAAGGATTCCCTATTTAATAAATGGTGCTGGGAAAATTGGCTAGCCATAAGTAGAAAGCTGAAACTGGATCCTTTCCTTACTCCTTATACGAAAATTAATTCAAGATGGATTAGAGACTTAAATGTTAGACCTAATACCATAAAAATCCTAGAGGAAAACCTAGGTAGTACCATTCAGGACATAGGCATGGGCAAAGATTTCATGTCTAAAACACCAAAAGCAACGGCAGCAAAAGCCAAAATTGACAAATGGATCTCATTAAACTAAAGAGCTTCTGCACAGCAAAAGACACTACCATCAGAGTGAACAGGCAACCTACAGAATGGGAAAAAATTTTTGCAATCTACTCATCTGACAAAGGGCTAATATCCAGAACCTACAAAGAACTCAAACAAATTTACAAGAAAAAAACAAACAACCCCATCAAAAAGTGGGCAAAGGACATGAACAGACATTTCTCAAAGAAGACATTCATACAGCCAACAGACACATGAAAAAATGCTCATCATCACTGGCCATCAGAGAAATGCAAATCAAAACCACAATGAGATACCATCTCACACCAGTTAGAATGGCAATCATTAAAAAGTCAGGAAACAACAGGTGCTGGAGAGGATGTGGAGAAATAGGAACACTTTTACACTGTTGGTGGGATTGTAAACTAGTTCAACCATTATGGAAAACAGTATGGCGATTCCTCAAGGATCTAGAACTAGATGTACCATATGACCCAGCCATCCCATTACTGGGTATATACCCAAAGGATTATAAATTATGCTGCTATAAAGACACATGCACACGTATGTTTATTGCAGCACTATTCACAATAGCAAAGACTTGGAATCAACCCAAATGTCCATCAGTGACAGATTGGATTAAGAAAATGTGGCACATATACACCATGGAATACTATGCAGCCATAAAAAAGGATGAGTTTGAGTCCTTTGTAGGGACTTGGATGCAGCTGGAATCCATCATTCTTAGCAAACTATCACAAGAACAGAAAACCAAACACCGCATGTTCTCACTCATAGGTGGGAACTGAACAATGAGATCACTCGGACTCAGGAAGGGGAACATCACACACCGGGGCCTATCATGGGGAGGGGGGAGGGGGGAGGGATTGCATTGGGAGTTATACCTGATGTAAATGACGAGTTGATGGGTGCAGCACACCAACATGGCACAAGTATACATATGTAACAAACCTGCACGTTATGCACATGTACCCTACAACTTAAAGTATAATAATAATAAATAAATTAAAAAAAAAAAAAAAAAAAGAATTTTATGTATATTTATGTATTATTTTCCAAGAGAGCTGCTCACAGGGATGTGATAAGAGAGGAAGAGAAGCTGGGGACACCCCTCGGTAAGCTGTAAATGGAGGGCAAGCATCAAAGTGGGCCACTACAGAGCGTCTCTGATGGGAGTTACAAACTGGTGAGTAGGGGCTAGGACTTTGTGTATATGTATATCATATATGACTCTGTGGCAGTCACCGTGCCACTGAGTAAATAATTCCTGCCAATTACTGTTATCAGTTAAGTGTACAAAATATCCTTATAAATTATACACTTATAATTATATACTTTTATTTCCTCCATTTGGCAGATGGTGAAATTGAGGCATAAGAGGTTAAATAACTGGCCAAAACGCTTGGAGCTGTAGTTCAAACCTAATGTGCCTGACATAATGGCTTTTATTCCTGTCATTAAGAATACTCTTTATTTTTAGTCAAGAAGTTTATCATATTATCTGACCTGTATATTTTCCTTCGTTCCTTATTGACATGGTTTGGCTGCATCCCCAACCAAATCTTACCTTGAGTTGTAATAATCCCCATATATCTAGGTTGGGACTAGGTGGAGATCATTGAATTACGGGGGTGGTTTCCCCGATATTGTTCTCACGGTAGTGAATAAGTCTCATGACGTCTGATGGTTTTATGAATGGGAGTTCCCCTGCACAAACTCTCTTACCTATCGCCTTGGAGACATGACATTTTGCTCCTCCTTTGCCTTCTGCCATGATTGTGAGGCCTCCATGACCATGTGAAAATATGAGTCCATTAAACCTCTTTTTCTTTATAAATTACTCAGTCTCGGGTATGTCTTTATTAGCAGCGTGACAGCATGAGAACAGACTAATACACTTACATTTACTATTTCTTTTATTTTCTTCACATGAATTCCAAATAATCCTACAACGATGGAATAATTTGTGTCTTTCTTGAGAGGCAGACACACAGCAGCAGATGAATTTGCATAATTTTACTTTGTGTTCCATTTTCCAGTTACCTGGGGGAACCCAGTCTTGGTACACACGACTGACCACATGACTGACTATTAAGAGCTACTAAATTGATGGGTAAGTAGGCTGAGTAATTTTATAAATAAAGGTATTGCTGGCCTATGTAAGCCTTAGAAGAGACAGAGTTGCCCAGAAGCAGTAGAAAAGCCAACATCTCCTTTATGATACCACCTGACACTTTTATTTATTATTCATTACCAACAAATAATAATTAAAAGACACTTACTAAGCTCTGTGGATCATCCGTGCTCAGTGATTAACATGCTAGGTAAGAGAATCTCTTTAAACATTCTCTCTGGGATTTACAATGTGTATTGCTAGGGCTTGTAACCACATGGAGAATATGTCTCTATAATATTACACTTAAAAATGAATTTCATAAGAATTTTTTTATTGTTAAGGGTCATCAGGATTAGCATGTTAATAAATATAGGCTAGGAAGTTCCAGGTGATCAAATATTAAATATGCTTACTTTAATTTGAATCATTTAAAAAGTCAGTTAAAGTATTATTGTTAGATTAATTGTTGATTTTTAAAAATTCATTGAGTAGATATTTGTGGAGTACATATTGCCATGTTAAATGGAAATGGAAATATGAAGACTATGTCATAGCCTGTGACCTCAACGCTTACGACACTGGAAGGATACGGTACAAATAACTTTTTAATACTTTTCTTTTGTTTTTATCTTTCTCTTTCTGTCTTTCTCTCATTCTGTCTTCTTTTCATCACTTATTTATGTATTTTGCTGATGGTGACTACATTCAGAAGTTAGGAAAGTTGTCAAATCTTTAGAAAAACAACCTAATTTGAGAAGCCTCAAAATTATAGAATATGTACATCGTTTTTCATATATGTCATAGGTTAATATCATAAACTTGTACTTATATATATAGTTGGGGAAGGGAAAGGGGAACATCTTATTAGTCAGGGGTCCCCAGAGAAACAGAACCAAGAGGATATACATTAAGAGAGATATACATGAGAACAGACTTATGAGGGGAACTGGCTGTCTCAATTATAGAGGCTGAGGAGGCCCACAACAGGTCATTTGCAAGTTGGAGAACTAGTTGGTAGCATGGCTCAGTCCAAAGGCCTCAGAACCAAGGAAGATGATGGTGTAACTCTGAGGGTGCACGCCTGAGAGTGGGAGATGTTGCTGCAAGTCCCAGAGTCCAAAACAAGGAGAACCTGAAATATTGATGTACAAGGGCGGAAAAAGTGGCTTGGCTCCAGAAGAGATGAGCAAAAATTGACCCTTTCTCTGCTTTTTAGTTTCAACTGGGCCCCCAACTAATTGGCTGGTGCCCACCTACATTGAGGGTGGATCTCCTCATCATTCTACTGACTCAAATGTCAATCTTCATTGGAACCACCCTTACATAAATAGCCGGGGAAGCTTAATCATTCCAATCAAATGTCAAACCATGAAGGTTTCCCTTTTTTATAAAAGAAAAATGGATTCAATGCCTACTGAAGCATTAAGGATAATTAATGCACATGACCGAGAATAAATAATGCTTCTCCAGGTATCTGGGTATCTCTTAATTCAGTCTAGTTGGCAACCAAAATCAGCCATTACAAACATTAATTGAGTTCCTACTCTATCCTAGGCTCTATGAAAGGCACTTAAATATTTTCTTATGCATTCCTCATAACAATTAAAATGTTTTCCAATTGATAAACTGAAGCTCAGTAAATTTAAGTAACTGCTCAAATATTGTGAAGCTAGTAATTGCGACATAAACTACAATCATTTTTTATTCTTTAAAATGTAAAAATATATGCAGAAGGAAATAGCAATGGATTCAAAAAAACAATCACTATGGAAAATCAAGTACACACAAAAGGCTGAAATAGAAAGAATAAAAGGCAAAAAGTCTTCAAGACATACATAAAACAAATAAAATGGCCAAAGTAACTGTTTCCTTATTAGTACTTTTAAATTTTAATGGATTAATGCCTCCAATCAAAAGGCAGAGATTGGCAGAATGAACTAAAAAATAAAATGATCTAACAATATGCTGTCTAAAGGAGGGTCATTTTAGATACAAATAAGTTGACAGTATAAGAGCAGAAAAAGATATTTCACGCAGATAGTAACAATAAAAAGAGCTGAATACTGACAATAAAAAGAGCTTTATACTAATATCAGAGAAGATATAGCTTAAGTCAAAAGGCTTACATGTGACAAAAGGAGATATATGCTGATTAGTCAATTTTTCAAGATGATAAAACAATTGCAAGCATATATACACTAAGCAACAGAGCCCCAAAGTATGTTAAGCAAAGTATGTTTATTGACAGAATAAAAAAAATTCTACAGTAATATTTGAAGATATCAATACCCCAATTTCAATAATGGATAGAACATATAGACAAAAATATCACCAAGAAAATAGAGGACTTGAACAATATAATAAGCCAACTAAACCTGACTCTTCACTGCCCCAACCACGTATTTGTATGGTATGTGTTACATACGCACACGTACATACCACATGTATACCATATATATACCACATATTTATATGATATGTATTTATACGTGGGAAGGGCAGTGAAGAGTCAGATAGAAATATGTGGGAAGGGCAGTGAATAGTGTTGAGTACATAGCACTCTATCTACCCAAAGCTTGTTCAACTCACAGTCCACAGGCTGCATGAGGCCCAGTATGGCTTTGACTGTGAACCAACACAAACTTGTAAACTTTCTTGCAACATTTTGAGATTTCTTGCAATTTTTTTTTCTTTAGCTTATCAGTTATCGTTGGTGGTAGTGTATGTTATGTACGGCCCAAGACAATTCTTATTCTTCTTCCAATGTGGCATAAGGAAGCCAAAGGATTGGACACCCCTGCTCTACCCAACAGCAAAATGCACATTCTTCTTAAGTGCACATGAAATATTCTTCAGGGTAGAATACATGTTAGGCCACAAAACATGTTTTGATAAACATGGAAATTTTTAAATCAAGGTGTATTATTCAACTACAATGGAATAAAACTAAAAAGGGACATAAAAAGAAAGCTATAAAGTTTGCATGTATGTGACTATTAAACGACACATTCTTAAACAATCATTTGGCTAAGAAAAAAAAAATCACAAGGGAAATAATCAAATACTTAGAGATGAAAGAAAACAAAAATACAGCCTACCACAAATAAGTTCACAAATATGTGACTATTAAACAACACATTTTTAAACAATCATTTTGTTAAGGAAAAAAAATCACAAGGGAAATTATCAAATACTTAGAGATGAAAGAAAACAAAAATACACCCTACCACAACTTTGGGATGCAGTGGAAATAGACTTCAGAAGGAAATTTATAGTCTACATATTTTTAAAAATCTCAGATTGCTTTTCACTTTGATAAGAAGATCAAGGTTCCTCGATGTAAGTTTCAATGTCCTTTCTTCTTTTGTATTAAAATTCCTCTCAGACCTTTTTTTATTGTCAGAGAAAAAAATGATCTAATACCAATAGAAAATCAGCTTGAGAAATCTAGAGTATTGGTTTTCAAAACCTTTGACTGAAATCACAAGAAATACATTTTGGGCTGTGATGTGGTATATCCATATAAACAGACACAGGCATTCAGAAAACTGAGACAACATATCATTCAGCAATAGTCTAGCAATGTAGGAAGTCATGTGATATTTTCTATTAATTTCTAGTCAACTTCTTTAAACTAGATATTGTTCTTGACATGTGAAATGAACTTCATAATCAACAAACCTGCAGTTGGAATACACTAAGCTTAACACTATATTATCCTTGTAGCTCAGAAGTACCATTTCCTGGTTAAAGGAAACAAAAAAGAATAAAATTGGTTCCAGATCAAAGCAACCAAAAAAGAATACAATTAGTATCCTAATGTTAAGAAAAAATTATGCGAAAATGAAATAACATGTCATTTCAGTGTAACACTAGAGCAATGCCTAACAGGCACACCTTGGGTTTATTTATTTCCCCTATAGAATGATTTTTTGTTTGTCTTAGTATTTATTATAGATTAAGTCCAATACCATGTAAAGTTGAACACTAACTTGTAGTTTTGTTTTATGTTTTTTGTTTGTTTGTTTGTTTGTTAACCTGTAAGTCTACCTGGGAAGATTAATAACAATGAATAGTATGGTTTTGTTGTAACATATCAACAAATTTTCTATCTAACCTCATAATCTTATTCTTGTATTCCTTCTTTCATGTGATGTTTGTTTAGCCATTCACATTTGTCTTTTCAACCAGCTTTGTGATGCTGCTGATACTTTCTTCAATAAGTTAAACAGATCTTTAACACACATTCAGATCTTTAACACGACTCTCATGTTCGTATGAGAGTCGTCATGCTGACTTTTGAAAAATTGTACTTTTAAATGTTTCATGCATTTCTTCATAGAGTGTCCTTGGATAACTCTTTAGAGTAAAAGCAAAATTTACTGCTTAAAGAAGCCAAACATAAAGGAAATATGTATCTTATTAAAGAGTATCTAAATATGCTCTATCATTGTATTTGTGAAATTATTCATTTATATGACTTTCTGCTTCATTAGACTTTTTTGTTTTTCAGTGATAATCACACTAAACACGGATTCATTTATAAAGATCTTTCAGTATAAGAAAAACTAATTTATATTTATCACATCATTTTTGACACCTTTGTCTAACTTGTAACATAAATCTTAATGTAAAGGAAATAATTCACTTATAAATGTATTTCTTTATAATATGTAGATATACGCTGATATATATTTAGGCATATATATATATATATAAAATCACAGCAACTTTAACTTTCCAAATCTCAATTAATTTCTAGACTCTAAGAAAGAAATTTAGTTTTCCCTTCACAGTTAGAAAAGCACATGGTAAAACTGAAAGGGTAAATACAGCAAAGGAAATAGACACTGACCACCATATTACCTTATACTCGGTCTAAATTTATACAAATGATGTTGATATTGCTATTTGACTTAACAACTTAACCTTTATTGATAACGAGACAAGGAAGACAAAGCTTAAAAATGCTTCATGCTAGAAAATTAACTTTTCTAGTTACAGCAACATGAAAATGTTTCAAAAGCCTTATAATTTTTCTATGTGTAAGCCAGCAACAATTTCCTGAAGCCTGAGCACACATCAGATTTCTGCGAGTTCTTTTGTTTCATCTATGCTCTGACTTTCTGTTTTCCACATTTCTCTGACTCCAGCTGGAGAAATGTCTTTGATTTTCAAAGGCTACATATTGCTGGATTTTCATGCAAATATATTGGGATCACGTGGATAATCCAGGATAAACTCTATTTTAAGGTCATCTGATTAGCAAAGCCCCTTCACAGAAGTACCTAGATTAGTGTTTGATTCAATCCTAGGAGATTGGGTTGAAGGATGCAAAGTATTGTTCCTGGGTGTGTCTGTGAGGGTGTTGCCAAGGGAGATTAACATTTGAGTCAGTGAGCAGGGGAAGGCAGATCCACCCTTAATCTGGTGGGCATAATCTAATCCGCCGCCAGCGAATTTAAAGCAGGCAAGAAAACGTGAAAAGGTGAAACTGGCCTAGCCTCCCAGACTACATCTTTCTCCCGTGCTGATGCTTCCTGCCCTCGAACATCAGACTCCAAGTTCTTCAGTTTTGAGACTTGGACTGGTTCTCCTTGTTCCTCAGACTTGCAGACAGCCTACTGTGGGGCCTTGTGATCATGGAAGTTAATACTTAATCCATTCATATATATATATATATATATATATATTTATTTATATTTATACGTAGATATATACACATATATGTGTATATATAGAGATATACACATATATGTATCTATGTATATAGATATATGTATATATATATACACATATGTCTGTCTATTTATCTATCTATCTATCGAGAGAGAAAGAAAGAAAGAGAGATTGAGAGATAGAGAGAGTTCTGTCCCTCTAGGGAACCCTGGCTAGTACAAATGCCTTTATCTGAGATAAATGCCCTGTAGTACAATTTCTGGGTTGTATGTGATTTGCATGTTTAGTTACTTCTGTTTGTGTTCTACTGTAAAACCCTTTTCCACAGTTGTTTCACTGCCTTACCTACCAACAATGTGCATTGAATAGTAAAATTTCTCTGCATACTCGCCAGCACCTGGTGTTGTCAGTAAAATGTATTTTAACCATTCTGATAGGTGTTTAGAGGTAATTCATTGTGGATTGTAATTTGCATTTCTCAAATGGCTTATGATGCTTAGCATAATTTCATATGTTTGTTAGCCATCTGTGTAGCGTCTTCAGTGAAATGTACTCTCATATCTTTTTCTTATGTAGCTTGTCTTGTTTTTATTCTCCTGATAGGGTCTTTCTTGAACAATTTTTTGAAAATTTCAGTAAAGTTAAATTTAATAATTTTTGCTGTTTTGGATCGTGCTTGTGGTGTTAATTCTATATGCTTTGAGCTAGCCCTACATCCCAAAGAGTTTTTTTCTGTATTCTTTGCTTAAAGTTTTATAGTTTTACGTTCTAGTTTTAAATCCATGACCCATGTTGAGTTACTTTTTGTGAAAGGTGTAAGGCTTAGACTAACATTCCCCATTCTCCATGGATTTCTCATTGCTTAAGCACTATTTATTAAAAAGACTACCTTTCCTTCTCAGATTGCTTTGGCCAAAAATTAGTTGGGCAAGTTTTTGTGGGTCTAATTCTGTATTTTCTATTCTGTCCTATTGATTTTTGTGTCTATCCCTCCACCACCCTTGATTGCTACTGCTATATCAGGTCTTGAAATTGAGTAAACTGTTTCCTCCCACTTTCTTCTTCTTTTTAAAAATAATATTATTTTAAGTGTTTTGCCTTTTCTGAAAAGTTTTAGGATAACCTTGATAATTTCTATGAAAAATATTTCTGGAGTTGCTGGCAGAAATTGAATTAAGCTTGTAAATCAATTTGGGAAGAATTAACATTATAGTCACTGTGTGGAGTTTTTTAATCCATAAATATGTTGTGCTTTTCCATTTATTTAGGCTTTTGTATAGTTTCATCTGTGTAGTGTTGTTTTTAACATACAAATCCCACACGTTTTGTTTAACTTACACATAAATATTTTCTTGTTTTTAGTAATTATAAGTGGTTTTGTGTTTTTAATTTCAGCATTGTAGTATTCATTGCTGGTAAGTGAAAATATGATTGATTTTTTATGTGTATTATTTTCTTGTAAACTTGATGAATTCACTTTCTATTTTCAGGAGTTTATTTGTAAAGTCCTTACGACTTTCTACCCAGACAATTATGTCATTTGCAAATAGAAAGAGTTTTATTTTTTCCTCTCCAATACATAGTTTTTAAATCCCCATTTCTTACTTTGTTTTTATGTTTTCTTACTTTGCTTTTATTTATTTAGAAATTCCAGCACTGTGTAAAATAAAAGTGAAATGGTTTTCCTGATTTTTGGTGGGGATTGGGCAAATAATTCGTTTTTAAACCTAAATTGTAATAACTTTATACTGAAATATATTTATTAAGTGGAACAAGATTTCTTCTATTGCTATGTTTCTGAGTGATTTTTAAAATCATGAATGGATTTGTACTTGTAAAATGCTATTTCTATACCAATTGATATGATCATATAATTTTTCTTTCCCATATTATTTTAATTAAATCTTAAGTGTTGAATCAGACATGCATTTCTGGAATAAACCCAAGTTGACCATGTTGTATTATTCTATTTGTATACTGCTGAGTTTCATTTTCTAACATTTTATTAAGGAGTTTATAACTATATTCACAAGGTTATTAATCTGTGATTTTTCTGTTTTTGTACTGTCTTTATCCAGCTTTGTTATAAAGGTAATAGAAGATTCATAAAATAAATTGAGAAGTGTTTCTCCTCTTCTAATTTTTTACAAGAGGTTGTATAGAACTAGTTTTAATTCTTTAAGCATTTGGTACAACCCTCCAGTGAAACCATCACGGCCTACTTTTAAAAAATCACACATTAAATGTATTCAGTAGTTATAAAACAACTGAAATTATGTATATCATATTAGGTGGGTTGTGATAGTTTGCACTTTTTAAGAAATTGATTCATTTTATTTAAGTCATCAAATTAATGTGCATAGAGTTGTTCGCAGTTTCCCCATGTCACCTTTTGATTTCTGCAGTAATTTTAGTAGTTGATACTCCGTGGTTGAATCCTGACACTGGTTAATTTTCATCTTCCCTCTTATTTTCTCTGTTAGTTCTGCTAGAGGTTTTTCAATTATACTGACCTTTTCAAAGGACTAGCTCTTTGTTTCATTGATTATCTGTATTGTTTTTGTCTGTTTTCAATTTTATTGATTCATGTTCATATCTTTATTATTTCTTTCCTTTTGTTTGCTTTGGGTTTATTTTGCTCTGCTTCTTATGAAGGTCAGAGCTTATATTTTCAATTTAATAGTTTTTCTATTTTTCTAACGTGAGTGTTTGGTTCTATACATTTCCTCTCAGCACTGCTTGTGTGTGCATCCCACATTTTGATAGGACACATTTTCATTTTGATTCAGTTCAATGTAATCTTTTTCTTAAGACTTTCAGTTAACCCATGGATTATTATAAAGTATGTTGTTTATTTTCCACATGTTTGGAGATTTTTCTGCTATTTTTAATTATTGACTTTTAATTCCATTGTGGTCAGCTCTATTATTTCACTTATTTAAAATGTGTTGAGATATGTTTTATGATCCTGGAAATGACCTATCTTTGTATACATTTCATAGGTGCTTGAAAAAATATGTATCCTGCTATTGTCAGGGGGGAGGGTTTTGTAAATATATTAGGTATTGCTGTTTAGTGGTGGGGTTGAGTTTTCTTATCTTTGTTGATTACATATCCAGTTGTTATGAAAATTATTAATGGGATATTAACGTCTCCAATTATAATTATGGATTTTTCTATTTCTCCTTCTAGTTCATCAGCTTTTTTTTTTCCTTTCACAAATTTTGTAGGTTTGTTCTTTGATGCATGTACATTTAGGATTACAATGTCTCTTTGTTGGATTGACCATTTTATCATTATTTAATGTCAATCTTTATCTCTGGTGTTTTTGTTTACTCTGAAGTCTGTATTATCTGTTTTTATATAGCCACTCCTTATTTATTTTTATTAACATTTTCAGAAAAAATCTTTTCATAATATCTTTAACTTCAGTCTGTCTATATCATTAAATTCTAATCGAGTTGCTTTTACACAAAATAAAGTTTGGTCATGTATATAAAGCCATACTCTGAATCGTTTTTTCAAATTGGTGTATTGAGACCATTTATATTTAATATAATTATTAATGTCATAAATCTGCCATTTTATATGATTTTATATTGTTCCCTTTGTTCTTCATTTCTAGGTGTAGAATTCATTTCTATTTTACTTTTCCCACTTTCCTGTAAGTTACTTAAGCATTTTTTCAAATTCCATTTTTATTTATCTATACTGTTTTTGAATGCATCTATTTGGATACTTTTTCACCATGTCCTAGTATCATCAGTGATATGGTCTGGCTGTGTCCCCACCTGAATCTCATATTGAGATTCCCACATATTGTGAGAGGGACCCAGTGGGAGAAAATTGAATCATGCGGGCAGTTTTTCCCATACTGTTCTCTTGGTAGTGAGTAAGTCTCACAAGATCTGATGGTTT